ATATGTTAGTTTCACAATAATTAGTTCTTTTTCTTCCGGTTCCTATAATAATAATAGGTCAATTTGGCCTTTTTTTTTTTCCCCCCCCTTTCTCTTTAAACCTTGTAATTTAGACTGTTCAGAAAGACAGTGCTCAAGGGATATAGATATGTGCAAGAATACCAACTGAATATTAAACAGAGGTATCCTAATGTCTCATTCCCCTCCCGTCACTTACGTCTTTCAATCTCTTCAGGACACAGCCATAAATTAAGAGCAATGTGGGAAGGAGCTACTGTAAAGCTCTTTCTGAAAGGGCAGGTTGAGTTTTTAAAGCTGTTTCCTTGTGCTCCAGACTATTAAAGCGTAAGAGATGGACAAACTACTACTTTACATCATTTAAACAGTATCCCTGTAGGAAAATAAATAAATGTATATATACACACACATATAGATATATCTCCTTGTCCTTGAAAAGAAAAATTGACTCTCTACACTGATCTTTGGAATTACCTTACTTCCACAAAAAGCCCACTAGGAAGGGATGCAGTTACCCTTTAAGTAATGGGTTCATAAATACAGAAAAGGTTTCTTGCACCAGAACATGCAGACTGGTAGGCAGGGCACCCATAGGGCTAAGGCAGAAACAAAAGATGCTTTACTTTGAGACACGTTCCTGACTATGGCTAATTCACAGTTGCTCTAGTAAAGAGCAAGTTCCGTATCTGCTTTGCAGTTAGACTTCTTATGCAACAGACTCACAAAGTGTGAATAGAATCAAATCATGCATTTTGATGCATTTCTTTTTAGATGAAAGTTGCATATAATACAACTGAAAACTAAAGTTAGAAAAGCAGACAAAAGAAAATTAGTGGAAAAAAAAAGGCAGCAACACACTGCTTAGCCAATTAATTTTCACCTCAGTGTGTATTTTACATTTATGTGAGTAGGTGGTAGTTTCACTACATTTAGATTTAAATCAGTAACTGAAGAGTAGTGTGCACAACCTGGCATGACATTTGAATTAGCAGATCATTGCCATGGATCTTAAGCCAATCAAAAAATAAACACTGATGTGCACCATCAGGTAACTAAATCTTGACCAGATGTCTAGGTTATAAAATACGCAAAATTCTATTTACACATTGTGCAACAGTACTGTTTTAGTATATAAAATGTGTACCTTGTATACAATAAAACTTGATCTTAAACTAGAGAACAATAAATAGGGCCACATGCCCAGAAAGTAGGAATCTTACATAGATTCAAACTGTCTTCCAAAACAAGTATATTTTTGGTGGATGGAGCTTTGTTTTTGAGTTTTCCTTCCCCCACTTCCTCCTCAGCCAGTTTATTTTACAGTTCTACTCTTTATTCTGCTAGAGGAGAAAATCAAGTTTCTTTATTTGGTGAGCAAAAGATTTTCGTATTGGTAGTTAGTAAAGATATCTCTCTATACACACATATGTAGGAACTTTAATTCTAACGCCAGAGAAGTTGACAGGTGCACTCTGCTGCACGTGCTATGAATTCAGCTTGTGAAAGGCCAGATTTCAAGCTGGAGCTGCCTGCTCAACGAGAGGCCGCTATCAGTCACACGCCACGCGCGGCGCCCGGCGTGACGGCAGCGGCGCCGGGGCAGCG